CTCTGGAGTTTGTTCAAAGAAGTCCATAGAAATTCTTAACATTTTCTGCAGCATATTCTGAATGATTCCTTTGAATTATTATTTTTTTTAAAAACCCACATTTTTCTTTAAAATGGTTAGAAAAACAAATGGAAAAGTATTTGTACACAATATTATTTCATATTACATTCCTATGGTGATGAGACATTGTTTATTACATCATTAATCCGAATAACATTATAATTTCCCAATTCGCTTTTATGACATCTTATTTAAAAGTCAGAAAAGTCAGGGACAGATCCATACCCTCAATATTTTTTTCATGTCCAGTTGTGATTATGAAGAAAGGGAAAGTCAGTTTCCCCCTGTGCAAAGTTATTAAATTTCTTATTAGGATGATCGTATAAGGCTGTACTAAATCAGAAGACCAAAATGATCAAGAATACTGTTTCTCAAGCTTAACAACTTTAAGATGTGTGGACTTCAACTCCCACCATGGCTGACTTCCCACCATGATTGGGAATTTGAAAGCTGAAACATCTTAATGTTGCTAAGGTTCAGAAACACTGATCTAGAAGAGTTGAACTTTGTGTGGCTATCTAAGTGGGGGCCCAAATTCATGTATGTGACGGTATATGAGAAAGACCTTGGGAGACTAGGCCAAGAGATGCAACCAAGGAAACAGTCAGGTTAGAGACAATATAGCCTGCAACTGAATAATAGGCAGAGCAAGAGGCTCAAAAGGAACCGTCCTTTACTTGAACTATAAAGGAGACAGGGAGAGAGTTATTTTTTTTCAGACTTGCGAGACTAATGTTGGCCACTCAAGGTAAATCAGATAGGATTTACAACCAGGGAAGCTAATTACTATTTATTGTAAAGCTACTGTATTTTTCGGAGTATAAGACGCACCCTTTCCCTCAAAAAAGAGGCTGAAAATCTGGTGAATCTTATACACTGAATACAGCATTTTTGCCTTCCGAAACCCTGCCCCTTCACCAAAATGGCCGTGCATAACTTCAGAGTACTCCTGGGTGCTGGGGAGGGCAGAAAAAGGCCATTTTTTGCTCAATTTTGCCCCCCCCCCAGGTTTCCAGGAGCACTCTATAAGCCTCCATAAGGCTATGCATGCTCTTTTTTTTGACAAAAAATGGGCTGTTTTGGGGAGGTCT